TGTGAAACACAACAGGTTGTGGTAAGTACGACACTGAAACGATTTGCCGCACAGTGAAAAACAGCTGTTCCCAACTTTTTCAGATACAAATCTGATAAGAATTCGCAGTCTTGCCTTACCTCTATTTTGTATTATTTTGTATTATTGTTTCCTGAAATCTTTCACTTTGTTATTTGTAAATTATGTCAACGCACGTAACAATTGATTTCCCCAGTGGTAAGACTATGCAGCAGTGGTCAAAAGCAAATTTCAACTTTGGCCTCTGTGATTCGCGAAATATTTTGTCCACGGGACTGCGAAGAATTTGCTGCATTGCGGTTACCAGTTTCAAATTAGAATCCTCTTTTGAACCAGTAATGATACACTGTACTAGTTTTAGTTCATGTTTAAAGGAGTTTGAAAACTGGGTTAGTTTAAAGTAGTTCTTTTAAATTCCTTCGCTTCTTCTCAACAGCGCATGAAACGTGTCAGAAATAGTTGGCATAGTTGTCATCTTTAAACTAAACAATGAATTCTTCCGATTGTTTTACATTTCTCGGTCTATGTTCTTACCATCGAGATCGAAGTAAAATCCGTGTCCTTTATACTGTCGACGCTGATGTATACAAAGACATGGAAACGCGACACATTTGGCGACACTCGCGTTTCATCCTGATTTTCATAAAACTCTGAATATTTATTACTCAGCTCTGGAGGGCAACTTGCACCTGTACAGTTTTGCACCCTTTTAGCGGGCTTAATTACACTGAAAAGCTGGCTTTTTGTGCCTTTGTGTTTTTCAAATGTGCACATATGAAAAGGATCGCAATAAAGCTGATATTTCATTTAGGGCTTTGGGATAAAATCATGCTGAGAAGCGTGATTGCGTTCCTTCATGCAGACGAAAACAACGCCACAAATAGTTTCCTATCTGTGAGCCTGAGGGACGATTCCAGCCCTTCGCCCTCCCTGATTGTATCACGAAGAAGAAAACTCTTTACCTTCAAGAGACACAAAAATTGCAAAACTGAGTTTAGCGCTTAAAAACTTAATTTCTAAAAACTGTGTGTTTCTGTCAGTTCGCGAACACGTTCAAACGCTTTACCCTTTGTATAGACTATGATGAGTATTTTGTTTCGCAGTTGAATGTTGATTGTTACAGGACGCTAATAATCGGTATAAGTGCGCTTGGAAATGCCATAGCTACAGACTGCATTTAACAACTTGCCAAATATCAGTTTTAGAGGGCAAAGCTTAAACTTTCCTGAACATTCACCTGCAAAATGAACCCAAATTGCATGTCATGCTTTTCCGTTACAACGATTTCTCCCAAGATGGGTCTTATAATTATTCGTTCCCATAAACCTTATCTTTAACCACTCATCACAACGATCTTCTTTATTAAGTGGATGTTTTTACCTAGCTTGGGTGTGAATGTGGACTGTTAATTTGTGAAAGTCCTATGTGCGCGTGGGAGCGCCCATACAGGATGACACACGGCAGAGTCAGCGCTTCTCCACCCCGACCTTACTTGGGTATTTTTAGACTCCACATTCAGTTGAGCTGCAGTGTATCAGTTAATCAGAATGTGGTTTGTGTAATGAATACAGTACATGCATGTCATTTCAATCCGGTTAATGTCCGGTTGCGGTATAAGCCTTGATGCGAAAAAAAAGACAAAGACAATAGCTATCGGCATAACTCAGCAGCTACCTCTGTCCACGGTGAGTTCAGTCCAATCGTATTGGTATTGTAACTTTGCACATAAGATTTACGAAATCCTTTGACTTAAAACAATTGGTTTAAAATAGCTGCGTTTTGGCCTAAACCTGGTTTACCCAATTTTCCCCCTAACTTCGTTCTGCCGTACTTAAGTCGGTGAATTTTAACTTGGCCTCTTGTCGAACAGTCTAATAATTTAATGGTGGTTTTATGCCAGTCTTTGGAGACCAGGATTTGAAGAATTTATGGAAATGTCAGGAATTGGGAGATTTTTCTCTAAGGGAATGTTATGAAATATTGACACTATATACACAAGACGAAATAACCCCTCAACATTTTAGCCTCACCCCACGAAATACCGAGACAGTTTTGTGTTGGAGAGAAAATCTCTGCAATGCAGTCGATTTTAAACCGAAGGAGAAGCATAGATAGTGTATTTTCAAACATGTCGACGGCGTGCACGCAAGTTACACGTTTAACTTTTTTATCTCTCGGGACAGAAAATAATAGCGATTATCGGAAATTATCCACGTCAAACGTGGCAAAAGGAACCCAGCCATACCGATATGAGACAGCGGACAACATGAGTAACCATTTCCGCTACGAAAATAATCATGACTGTCATCCCAAGGACTAGTTCGACAAAGTTGGCTGTTGAATACATTAAAAGTGGTTTCAAAATTTTACAAAAACAAATATAATACGAAATCACCTCAGTAGCTGGTCAATCCCAGTTAGGATTGATTATAGCTCTAATTGAAGAACACTTAACGAACATTAGACAGACAGAGTAAGAACTTGATGAGCAACATTTGCCCCGAGTTTGTTCTTAAATTCTCAGCCCGTTGCATTCTGCCCCTCTGCCCCCCCCAGCAATGCTACTGCCTACAGGAAACGATCACTTCACTCTCAGTCATGAGCGTTGGATATCATGAATCCTAAAAGGAAATGCAATGGAAACTCCCCACCCACAATTGTTTTTTGATATCAATGTCTAATGCACTTTACCGTCAATGCCACTGAGTCAAAGAGCCTTGTGCACGTTTTGACACCAGTTTTGTAAAATTGTAGTTGCCGTTTGTGCTACATGCCGAATACGGGCGTTTTACAATAGGACGCCTCCAAGAGTAAGTTTGAAACGCGTTGGCCAATCACAATGCGCAAAATCTGTTGAACCAATGCGCGTTTGGAAAGGGTGGACAGATTTCGCGTGTTGTGATTGGCCAGCGCGTTGCAAACTCTTGGAGGCGCATGATTGTGCAACACCAGTATTACAGCAAGAGCGTGCACAGGGTGTTGTGAAATCTGAAGTATATCCCAGACCACATGCGCACGCGGAATAAGTTTGGATTCACGCAGCGTCGGTAGTGTGCAGCTAACATAATGCTTTGTTCCACTGCGCAAGTCTATGGATTACGTAACGAGCAACAGAGACTTAGCAATCAGTACATGCACTGGCTTACTGAAATGGGCAGACGGGCTATACAACCCCCCCCCCCAAAAAAAAGGAGATTTTATTTGGGTTGATTAAATACATGAGAAAAAGGAACGACTTTTGATTTTCACTTTTTGATTTCGGGGTGTAAAAAGCGCCAGAAATAGCTTCACAGCTTCATACATACAGCATCCCCCAAATTTTTTACACTACCCAGAAGACAAATTTCTCTCCCGAAATATTTGCTTATGGAACCGCTTATGGAATCTATTCCTAGCCACTGTAAAATAGCTCAATAAAGCAAAAAAAAATGGCTGTAAGAAAAGACAAAACAGCCATAAGCAAAACACCTAGTGGGACGTTTTGTGGTGTTTGTCTCCGCAAAATGTACATGAATTGTGCCTAGATCAGCACATGAAGGACCTGGTAGCCAGTGCACATTTTGAACTGAAGTGAAACTTAATGGAGCCCCTAAGTTTCTGAGCTCCCGTACTTTTCCTATCAGCAAAATTGGAGAGTCTTTTTATACAGATGTCGACGTCTCAAGATGCCTAAAGTGCCTCCAAGAGAGCTTTTTTTTAGCGGGAAATGTTTCACGAGGGAGGCCTTTAAAGTCCACGAAGCAAACTGAACTTTTCCCGAACTCAACTGTTACCTCATCCTCGCCTCGATACATTGATATACCGTCTCTGAAGGGTTGGCCTTTTTGAATTCTTTTGCGCAAAATATCCACGAGGGAAAGTTACCTCCCGCCTCTGCTGGTTATGCCACCCTGCAGGGAGAGGTTTGCTAATGCAGTGTCAGTATCATCCTTGGTTTAGAGGGGATTTACCTAACACTAATCTGATTATCAACCGTACTTAAAAATACACAGGTACATGCATGGGCGTGGACTCGACGTCGTGATTTTGGGAGGGCGCTGTTCATATTTCAAGCACAAACGCACTCACGTTCACATGTTGTAATTGTTTACCGTACAGACGCATCGCGTGAAGTTTTTTTTTCCTGCTATGTCAAACGGTTGGATTCATGTTAACCAAACCAGTTTTTACTGCAAAATTGGCTTTCGGCTTCCTTCCTTTTTCTTACCTTTCCCCATCATTTCGTCTTTTTCTTTGGGATTCGCATGCAGGCGGGCGAAATTGGACCCAGGAATTTCGCTTTTGTCTGCGGTTAAACTCTTGCAGTAATTTGCACTGAAAACATTGGGTTTTTTTTTTAGCTCAGGTGTGATTTGTTCCCCGGACCCCCCCCCCAGTTGTTTCACGCACCGCCCCCTCCCCGGAAGTTCCTTGAAAAGCCCATGAGCGCGTACTACACGGAGACCGTGGAGTTGGACGTCCACAAATGTTACATTCGTTTGCAAAATGTGCAGCTTACCATCGCGAACGAAGCCTATGATTTTAAGAACTGCTGCGTCTTGAGGCCATTGTCAATCCCATTGAAGAGGTTGAGGTGAAAAGTTGACTAGTTAATTTATTTGTTTGCAATAAATAAAGCATTTTTACTTTGGAAATCGACTGGTAGAAATGGCGTTGAAAAGTAAATTGCTGCATGTAGACTAGCCAATATATATGCAACATAAATGAAATTATTGCAAAATCATATTTTAAATTTAGAAACTGCTACTAAATTGGCATTGGGAAAAATACAAAAATGTCGACCTGAAGAGGGCCTTAAACTTTTATATATTAGTATATTATATTGCGATGTAAATTTCTCTGTCCGTCTCATAACCACCGACCTCGCTTCCCAGTGTATGAGTTGGGAACGCACGGTGCTATATCGTTAAAGGAAATTAATCATTCTGGCCATTTAATGGCGAGCAAATACACAATATCATTAGGTACCATGGTTTACTTACAACAAAATAAATGGAGTCGGTTCATATTCGGATCGGATTCGCGTTCCAAATCAGCCCCAGGCTATCTCTCCTTATGCGCAGCCTGGACTTGAACTCCAAGTCTTGAGTTCACGAAACCATGTTGTAATGCAACTGACCCTGCAGTGGCCGATGCGACTCTGTGAACCGGGGCAGGTAACATGATAGACGGTTAGGGGAGAGCAGACGGTGCGTGGATACGGCTAAATGGCCCCCTACATGCACTGGCGGCAGTGCACTGGTTTGTTTACGGAAGAACATGTAAAATAGTGATACTTCAAGAGGAAACATTTTGTATTTTTGTGTTAGCTATACAGTTTGCCACACGGTGCTGCTGAATTGGATTTGTTCATGATAAAATCGGTTCCGGACTGATGCAGAAAAACTAACGGCGGTTCCATCTACCAGGGTTACCGGAGGTTGTTGGCTTAATCAACGACGGGGTGTGTAGGAACGAAAATTACAGGTGACAACCTTGAGGGTGAAAATTTAAATTCAGAAAATGTTAGCCTCGGATTATATTGCACTTATTGGTGTGCCTGTGTTCATTTAGGGGGTGTGCATACATATAGTGGCAGGATCGGTCTCACAGTGAACACCATAAATTGATAAAGCTGGTAACTTGATCCGAAGAATAGGCTACATTATTGGTGTTGCAAATTATTCATATTTTGGGTTGACATGTTGGAAGCAAAACTGTCTCGCGCCGCTCACTGATACCCCCTTTCACTCCCCCCCCCAGTATACATGGGGCTAAGTTAGTCTTTTATTGGATGCTTTCAGATCGAGACTCAGAATTCATTCCATTGCCACCCTTTATGTTTGAACCAAGGCCCTGAAAACTGGCATTACACTGAAAAAAAAGTAAATTAAGCACCCTCGATCCACGTAAGACAACACCTGACTGGATACTGAGAGTGCCCATTCAACACAGGTTTTAACTATGAAGTTTTTGCCCAACAAATGAAACCATTCTTGCTACCACTTTGCACGCAAGATTAGAAATTGAAAATATTGTCTCCGCTTCCTAGCACTTAAAATTTGCATTCAGCATCGACAAGTATTTACACAAGGGAAATTTTTTCAAAAGGTTCTTAAAGTATGAATTTTGCAGTGCAGCTTGAATATTTTACGCTGAGCAGGTTGGATTTCACATAAAAGATCACAAATCAAGGTTTTTTTGCAGTTAACTAAGGAGGATATTGGGGCAAGGAAACTGGGTACGAGGAAAAGTTGAAAAGTGTTTATGCCTAAATGACAAAAAATACTGCAAAATATCGCCCAAGGCCCCGAATTTTCAGTGGAGTCATACAGTAAAGAGGTGGATGAAACATTGACAAAAAGGGGGAACGCGCAACACAAACGGTAGGGAATGGGGACAAATGGCGATAAATCCGAAAACATTATACGATACAAACGAGGTGTGCATTAAGAGCAATTGGCAAAGGGCCAAAAAAGGGGAGGCACCTCAGTCTCCAGAGCAAGAGCCTGCTGGTGTGTCCCCTGAACCCGATCACAAAGCGCAAATGTCTAGGAATTCGGATTTTTTCGGCATTTTCTTGGTGCTTTTCCACATAATTCTCTGCATTGATTTCCTTACTTTTTTTTAATCTTGTCTCTGGTCTGGTCTGTTTCCAAGGAAACGTGTGCATGACATTTTGGGAGATATCGGTGGGAGGGCAGGCCTTGAGAATGAAGGTGTATTTCACTTCAATCAAATTTGCATGTAAAAGAGTTTACAAAAAACAGCAGCGATCCGGACGAAGCTGATTCGCATGGCAATATGAGGAAGGCATGGGCGTCGCGAAGGGAGGGCAAGAGGGGGCCCTTACCCCCCCCCCCCATAAAAATGGGGGGGCATAAAAAACCACTATAGACCTAGCTTGTTCTCAGGAAATTCCGCACCCAGGGAAAATAGTCCCCCTCCCCTGGAAAAAAGTCCTGGCGACGGCGATGGTGGAAGGGTATCTCGTCTGGGTAGAGGCGCTACAAAAATGAACTTTGTTCTGTTTTTCTCACTATATACACTAAAGGATGCAAACCTTATGCCAAGCCCACAATTAAGACAACTTTGAATGCATATACCCCGAGACCCGCACTGCAGGGTCGTGTCTTGAAATTTATACTTGTCATGGCCTGCCACTTCAATTATGAGACAAAAGACTGCTAAAGTCCTACCTTGTGCAGCTTCGATAGGTTTGACGAGTTGACAGAATTGTATGAAATAGGCCTACAAGACTGGTAGTTTATCCAGGGCAGAGGTCAGTTTAGGAATTGGAAGAAGCGTCTTAGATCTTTGATGCAACTGAGCGCATGCCACGAGAGGGGCTTCCAGCCAGAGGTCGTCGTAAATCTAGTTCGGTACACCACCGTGGTGGATTATCTGCGGTGAGTGTCTGGCATGCAATCCACCTGTGGAGTCCAGGTGAGAAGTCCTCTCCAGATCAAGCGTCTGAGCTCCTCGGCATCTCAAACTCAACTGATTCCCAGCCATCGCCTTTTCTCCTGAAACCCAACGTACCTGGTCGCGATTTCCGTGAAGCCGTTGTGAGGGCAGTATGCACAGAAAAGTCAATTACAAAAGAGCGCAAACAATTATACTTTGAACTCCCAGCTCAGTCGTGTTGGTCTGTTCACTCGGGCGTTTATGGCACCCATTACCAGCCTACAAATGCAAACTCAAGGTTGAAACCAGAAGGTCGCTGGTACCCGACTATTGGGACCCCAAATTCACCTGGATTTCCCCGTATCACTAGTTGTTACATGGAATGCGCGGGTTAGCACATTAGAAACGTACTGGACCACACACTCATACCTGAGCCACGTTGATTGCCGAGAAGGGGCTCATTGTCCACAGTTAGTGGAAAATGTGTAACTGCAAGCCAGAATTGCGTAAAATAATCACTCGATCTGGTATGTATATGGAAGTATGACATGGCAGAATAAATGTCTCAGTAATAAACTCAAAATCCTCGGCAGGAATTCCTGCTAGGCCTACTTATTTAAGAAATGAAACTCTGTTTTGGTGGTTTTGCAATGGATAATGCCACTCGTGGAGTCTGCTGCATGGTGGGTTGCCGACTCGCACCTGTTGCGCACTGTGTAAACTTTCTAGTGGGATAACCCGTGATAGAAACACCACTTTTGCGATGGAGCATCGATGATGGGCAGCCTGGTCCACTGCATTATTTTGTCACATTGCTCCATGTGCGTGTTGGCATGCATGGCATAAGGCAGGCTGATTAGCAAATAGTCCTATGATTAATGGCATGAAATCTTACATGAGACTGTTAATGTCTACGTGATTAAAAAGATTGGTGAAAGGTTGATCCGTTTTAAATCATCGCTTTGCAGCTGGGATTTTGGGATTTTCCTCCTAGAACGTCAGCACCAGAGCTGCAGAGGCGAGCCTTTAAAAAACAAACTGCACTCTCAAAACTGTGCTTAACAACATTAAACAATCTTACTATCACTTTGCAATCACTGCTCAGAAGTCGAATATTACCTGCCTCCTGTATCAATGCTCCATTCTAAACACTGCTAAACATATTTTGTATTCAAACGTGTTCGTACAAAATTGATAGCAACAAAGGTAAGTGTTGAATGCTTTAACGCGGTTTTGGGGTTACTAGCGGTTGTCAGTTTGCTGGCAGACATTAGGCTATAGTGATTTTTATCTCATCTCGGTACCCACAGCCCCCCTCCCACATGTGCGATTTGATCGTCCCGTCGTTGGTATGTCCATGGATAGGTATATAGGTCCTATACTTTCATGCATGCTGTGATCAATCTTGAAGCTGATGAGCGGATGGAATCATACTCAGTTTTATTCAGTGCTACAAGTCAGCCCCGCCTTCGAGTAAATTTAGCCGATGAGGAGAAGAAAAAGCCTTAGGAAGCGAGCTGCTGTACATGAACTCTAAGCCTCTCGTTCGTAGTAACCCAGTATTTTTGGATAGCACGTCAACAACACTCCGGCTAATTTTAGAAAGGATCTACGTCGGCCCCATTGTCCCGCTTCAGCCCACGGACGTGT